CAACACAGAATATTCAAAGGCACCAAATCAGAACAAAACAAGCCGGCCGAAGACCCTGCGATCGACTATGTGATCTCGCAGGGGAAGAGTTAAATGCTACAAGTGGGATCCCATCACTAGGATTACAACGCCTCAGTGGTTACACCTTTGATCCTGGCGGCCTGACGTGGCTGTGCCTTTGCGCACCTATCAGCTTTGTGTCGAGACGTTGACCGGCAAGACCACCATGCTTGAAATCTTGGACATTGCCGGAAGGGTGACGTCCGCACCTCTGAAGGCCTAATCGTCAAAGCGCCTCGGCAAATGCCAATGCAAATTCCAGGAGTCCGCTCGAATGGCTGGAGCAGGGCCGGGCCGCACGACGAATGGTTCTTAAACTGCTGTCACTGTCGTGCATGGAGCAGGTAGCTTTGTTTATCAGAACCTTTGTGGAAGGCTGGTACAGCTGTTCCAATTGGCAAAAGATCGGTGGCTTGGTCAAGTTCAGTTCTCAGCCCAATCAGAAAGCCAACTTTGGCAAGGTGCACACCAAACCATAAAGCCCCAAAGACCTGGACTAATACAAGTCCTATGCTTAAGCGCATGTCGCACTCCTTCCAGTTGATGTCCACGAGCATCACCCAGTCGCTGTCCTGCACATGACAAAGAAAAGCCCAAAGGCCCAAAGCCCTGGAACCCGCAATCCACACAGCCCTGAATTCTGAATCTCAAAAAAAGAAGACATGTACAGAATTTGATGCTTAGTGGAAAAACCGAAGTGAATCTCAAAAGGATGTGAGATGTCATGCTTGTAGACTCGCTCACTCACTTTCTGTTTCGTCTTTCTAATACAGGATCTCGCGAGCATAAGACGCACCAAAACCACATTCATTACATGCACGTTGTTCATGCAAATACGATGCGTGTGCGCGATTTCTATCAGCCAACGGCAACATGCTGGGTTTACGATGCTGGGGCGGCTGCTCTGCAAGACCACCGAAAGTCTCAGCCAAAGGAGAACCAGCAACCCCGTCATCCCAAAAGCTCTGCACTACCAAAGCCGCCCCAGGTGCCTTCCGTGAGATGAACTCGTACCGCTGGATCTCAGCTGGCTGGGTGCCTGATTGGAGACGTGAATCAAAGGTCAGGGTCCCTCTTAGGGGGCTTCGACTTGAAGACTTGAGGGCTTGGATTGCCTTTGGTAGGGGGGTTCTGTCATAGTGCGCATTACAGGTATCCCTGCCCCTTCTTCGTTCTGAGCGAAGTGCGTGGAACTCCAAAGTGAAATTGCATGTGTCATGAAGGCATGGTGGTGCTCGTTTGAAGCACAACGAGCGCCTGTATTTCCTGCAGCACGCGTGAGAGCATGGTCCCTGACTCTGACCCTTGAGTTCCTCCCTCGTTCTTACCATACCCCTGAACCCTAAACCCTGAACCCTGAACCCTATGAGTGAATACAGCGGAGCACGAAGAAACCACATGGTCACAGAACATAGTGAACACGACCCTTCGGGCCACCGTGTGGTCTCGGCTGGCTGCAGCTTTCCTGCCAGAACTCGAGGCGCAGGTTCGGGAGTTTAGGGGTGGTGCTCCAAACTCTTCTCGTATGCTCTACAGGGAGGCTTGTGAACGTGAAATGTGGTCTCAAAGCTTGTCTTCGGTTTAGAGCTTAAGGGGGTAGACTTCAACTGGAAGGTTTCGGGCATAGAAGGTCTAAAGCTCAGGGTTCAGCAGAGACATTGATTCAGGGAAGAGGCGTAAGTGGACATCTGCAGCTGTATGTTCAGTAGCGGAGATAATGTGAATGTGACTGCTGTCGCGATACCACATGAAACTCTGCTTTGGTTGGTGGGCTGATCGTGGACGAGCCTTGAGCTTCAAGTAGAGACCACCGTTCACAAGTGGTCTGACATGTGTCCGAACAGAGGTACTGGAATACACGCAAGTAGTAGATGAGCTCCTGGGGTGGTTCGCTTGCGTCAGATGAAAGAGGGGAAGCTAGCAGACTTGGTGGTCATTTCCAGTCGGCCAGGTGCCTTGCTGCAAATTTCCCAGGCTCATTTTACCAAGCCTGAGATGTGTCCAACAATGCACACTGACTGTACCAGCAGTCCAGCTTCTTGGCGTCAACTTAAAACGGCGTGGCGGGCTGAAGCTGCAGATCCAAATAATCAGGGCTTATGTACTGTTGAGGTTTGTCTTCTCCGAAGACTTGGGACCTGGATTTGGATTCGAAAGAATAGTTCGTGGCAGGGAACTGCAGAATACCCCTATAGGGATTAGCTTGAGACTTCATTCGGGGGAGGCCTTTTCGGGACTCCTTCGCCTTAGCGAAGCCCCCTCAAAACCCGTCAGCTCACTACATATCCTCACTAAATATTCTCAAAAATGACCATTGAGCTCTCCCCATGCACGATCGGCCTGGCCGTAGCAGTACCGGATGGTCTGAGGCAGGCAGAAGAGTTGAGGTTCAAAGTGTGATTCCCACCCTTCTTCCCAAACTTTCATGATCCTTACTTTCGCTCATGCAGGTTTTAGGACCACCAAGACTCAGTGCTCAGGGCTCGGGGCGAGGCTTTAGAGTTTGGGTCCTCGTGAGTTAGGGATGGTTCTGGGGTTAGTCCAAGTTTGGCAGTTGCAAAAATGCAGCTCCATATTGGCTCTGGTTTTCATTCTGGGAATCACTTGAGACCAGAGTTGAGGAGCTACAGTTTGATGATGTCATTGCAGTGCGCGATTTGCAGAAGCCCTGCCAGAATCTGCAGCTGAGGGCTGCGTGGGCATGGTTCATAGCAAAACTTTCAGAATCTTTCAGAGGAATGAAACGGAACCTCCAACCACCATCCCACTGCCGCCCGCTAGCACGCGCAGAGGTGTTGAAAACACCCCGGTGGCCTCCGGCTGTCCAATGCAGGCCGTCACTCGACCTACGTGCACTCAGACTGGACCACAAGGTTAGGGTGGCGTAGGGCTCGGGATTCTGAGCCCTCTAAGCCCTCTAAGCCCTCAAACCCCAGCATTGGGGTTTCATAAAATTAATTTATGGGGCTTTTCGCCACGGACCTCCTGGTATCTACGCTAGCGGCAGAACTGAAGGATGAAGGGTATTTGGCTTTCGTGAGCCAAGCACTTCAGGACGTAGGACAGGAATCTTCCCTTCGGAGCCACCCCGAAGAAGGGAGAGATATGACCCTGAGCACCTGCAATGTGGCTGACTCGACTTAAGAGTGCCTTCGTCAGGTTCGGTGCTGCGGGCCACAGCCCAGACAATCCCTCAGCCCCCAAGCCTAAAGCCCTTGATCTCGATTCTCTCTCTCTCTCTCTCCCTCCCTCCCTCCCTCCCTCCCTCCCTCTCTCTCTCTCTCTCTCTCTCTCTCTCTCTCTCTCTCTCTGTCTCCCCTCAATCCTGCAGGGTTTGACGGTTCGCGGGTCGAGACTTGTGGTAGTCAAGCAAAAGGGATCTTTCAACGGACCTTCTGAGAGCCAATCCAAAGTCGTTGACAAAGAGCCGAATCGAAATCGCCGAACTCCAAACTTACTTTCCACTTTCATGTCAGCATCCGGTGGCAACTCTGCCTGCCACCAGCAGCGCAGGGGTTCCTGACGCAGCGTCTGTCATGAGTTTTGAGGAAGGCCCCAAGATGATTGCGGAACCACGGCCATGGCCGGGCGGCGGATGACGCCGATTTTGATGGGGTCTGGGATGGTCCGGCATTTTGGGGATGCTTGGGGCCATGCATGTGAAAACATTTGGGGCCTGAAGCTCACGGACGTTCAGGGCCCCTGTAGAGGATTTTCTGAGTCGTCGAAGCACTGCCCCGCAATGGAAATGGGCGAGCACATTGTAAGATCTGGGCATGTCGGGACTGTAAGACTGTAAATGGATCGTCTTCACAGCATGTGCCTTTCAGGGCTTACACTTAGACAATTGGCCTTCCCGAACACCATAGAAACTTGGAGCACTCTTTGCGATCTTAGACAACTCAGGATTTTTAGAGAGGGGATTCAGCATGGTCAAGCACTGCGCTTGCAGTAGAGTTCTCTGCTTCTCTAGTCCAGGCGTTGTTGTCCTGATCTTTCTCTATTTCAAGTCTCCTGGGCTCCTTTTGCGCTCTCTACAGATTGCGGAAACCTCCAGGGGACAGCGAGTCTCAAAACTAGCTAGGGCCGCGCGGATTCGGACAAACGCTATTCCAAACAGGAGGTGCCATACTGCATGGGTCCGCAGCAAAATAGCAACCATCGAGATCAGGAATGCTGAGCCACCTATGGCAGCTAAGTCGGGGAAGGCCATTTCAAAAACCTTACGTCGACCACAACCGCAGGTCACTGGAGTCTGCCCAAAGTGCCAGCTGAAAGCTGGATTTGATTGAGGATGATTGAAGCATTTGGGGCTTGGGCTTCTTAAAAGCGTAAAGAGCACGATGTAAAGTCCTCGGCCTTGGGTTTCAGGATGCTTACATGACATGCTCAGGGCTCTGGAAAGGTAAGTTATGGTAAGTTCAAAACCAGGAAAGGATCCCTGTGCATGGACTGTTACAGGGAGCTGTCAGTGTTCAAGGCCACAAGGTTTAGATAAGCCAGGTTTGCAACTGCCTGAGCGGCTGAACTTACCGTCTGAGACCATAACCGATCTCAAGCCCCCAAATGCCCTCGAATCAACGCCCCAACCCCCCATCCTCCAAAATTTGCTTCTGATGTTCAACCTGGAAGCTGGATAATGCCCTTGCTCGCTTACCACCACACGGCTTGGGGTTGGCTGTTGGCTTGGGGGTCTAAGAGCAAAACACGACACGCTTTTTATGCCAGTCCTCCGCAAGCGTGCGCAGCACTACGGGAGCAAAGCGCTGCCTTGTAGCCGCGCAGGCATTTGATGCTCTACCTGTGGGCCCTTGGCCCCAGAAGCATCAGCAGTTTGTTCACGACAACGGGAGCACGAAGTTGCCGCTCTGCCAGCCAGGCGCCGTTCGCGCGCTTCCATCGGCGGATCACCTTGTGTGGCAGTTCCCTTCTGCATCGGCTCACTTCTGCATGGCGTTCTTGACCTTTTTCCGTGGTCTCTTGTCAGCAACTTTTGGCACTTGGCCCTCTGCCTGGAAAGGCTTGAAGCCGGAGTAAGCGCAAACCTGTTAAGTTTGCACGCGTCCTAGCAAGCTGCACTTCTAAATATCCATGCGCTGCAGCACCTACTTTATATCGGAAGGGGCAAGGGAGGGAAGCCTGTGTACACGTCTAAGTTAGCACTATGAAAAGATGTGGATATATTTTCGAGGGGACCTACAATCGGCATGCTCGAGACAAGACCGCGAAAGGCCCAATTCCCAACCGGGCCTTTCTCGCGACGCCTTTCTTTGGAGGTGCTTTCGACTTCTTGGCTCCAACCTGCAATACGGACAGGCGAATACAACCGACCACACATGGCCCACCAACGACAACACGTGGCCAACTAACCCCCCGGGGACCTCAATTCAGAAGTCAACGCCAAAGTAAAAACCTTGACTTCAGCGTGGCTACCTAAATGTTTCAAAGCGCCATCCAAGGTTTGGGCTTTGGGGTTGCATGGTTTCAGTGCTCGGTGACATCACATCCCGATACCGTCCCGAATCCTACAGTAAGAGGGCTCAGCACGTGTTGATTGTGAGTTTGGCGCTGTTTACTTAGGGCCTCGAACCAACAAATTTCGAAATTCGGTCGGTTGACGCGTCTTACACTCAGATTTTGACCGCTACAAAGAAGATTCGTTGACGTTGGCCGCCAAACGTGCATGTGAGCAACCACGGCCTCAGAATCTTGCTGCGGTGCGTGGGCTCAGGGATCGGAGTCCAGGAAAGTTCGGATCGTCATTGCTGCTTCCATCGTCCCCAACCGTTTTTTTGTCGCTGGCAGAATTGCGAAATTTGGCATAATCTATATTTGCAAGCTGGGTGATTCGGATATTGCTTCATCTGCAGTGCGCGACGTTTGCGTGCATCTCGATAGCCGGCGGTCTGACTGCCTGCTGTAAAGCATACCTTCTCGGCCTTTCGGGTATGATCAAAGTCTACGTAAGATCTATTCTTCTCAGTATGACAATCAACGTGGCAGTATGAGACAACTGATATGTCTCCAACTGGAGGCTTGCTTCACCAGAACTTGCTTAGGAAGTGACTGCGTGAGCTCATCCATACTCTTCCACCAGCTCATGAGCTTGTCTGCAGCGAGTGCTTAGCTGCACTGTGGAGTTTGTCATCGTCTTGCAAGGACGCACTGCGGTCTTGGCCAATTCATTGTTTTGCCGCTGCTGTCTGCATTGCTGGCATTTTGCTAGTCTTGGATGTCCAGTAGCGCGTAAGAGGGTCTGATCTCTAGTGTCCTGCCGGAACTCTCGTGTCCTGCCGGAAAGGTGACCGCTGTTTTTCGAGCTGACAAATCTTCCAATTCCATTCAAGTTTGCTCGCAAAGTAATTCTTGCAAATTTATGTGACTGGCGTCCAGTCCGCAATGTTTCATTCATGCGGGCTCCGGGTTAAATGGGCTCAGGGTTCTGGGCCCAGTGTGCACAAGTGCCACGAACACACAAACCGTAACCCCCAAGTTTCTCTTGGGTCTCACCGAGGCTGAGTTCCCATGCCCTGTGAGAGTACCATAGAGACAGGAAGAGAAACCCTAACCCGGAGACCGAGCAAGTCCTACCGGCAGCACCGAAACAACTCAGGTCTGGCAGGCCTTGTGACACTTGCACTCAAGAGATTGAAATCACTATTCCCTGTTATGCGCATCTATTGACCGGATTTATGAGCTGACCCGCACTGGAATCGGCCTGGCCCATACGGGACTTGACAGCTGATGCTCATGACGCTCACTGGAGGCTGTCCGGCCCCGTGCGGGGTTTAGAAGCCAATTTTCAAAAGCCGACTAACACTCTCTAACACACCACGAACACCCTTGCCTCAGCCTCAGCGCCGTCGTTGGTCGGCTCATTGGGGCTGGCCTGCCCAGGTCAAGTCTTGGTTCCGTAGCCTTGGTGGGGCCCCCCTTTAAGATGTGGGGGATGTGAGTTTCTCTCCATCTCGAGGGCTATGTGTTTCCTGCGCCCAATCTTGAAGGGTCAAGATGGCTTCGCTCTTTATGGACCCCTCCTTTTTCTCTTACAGAGCTTTTTCAGCTCCGGGAGGGCATCGAATCAAATGTGGACTTCTTTTGCAAGGGGCCCAGGCTGCAAGGTCATGTTCTGAAACGTTCCAAGCTCGGCAGAGGCAGACTTGACAATTTGACTTGTGTGTGGTGTTGGAGCTCGGAGTTCAGGATCCAAACTTGGATGGGGCCTAGGGCTTCAGCAGAGGGATGTGGGGAGGCATCGCGGCTAGCTGCTGCCAACAAGCCCAAGCCCCGCTAAACTGACGCCGCTTTCGTCTGCTTTGCCTTGGGGCCCAGCTTGGGTGAAGCCCCTGCAGTACCTGCCGGTTTGGGGTCTGAGCTGCTGCCGGGTTCAACAAGTTCAAGGGTTCAGGCATACGAGTTCACCAAGTTTTGGGGAAGGCTGTGGAGGTATTTGAACTGTGGAGTTGCGGACCACAGCTCCTTGAGTTCCATTGCAGGCTTCGACCCCCCAAAAGGGCTGTTGGGCCGTTGGGGGCGCAGGGTGCTGGCAGAGGTGTAGGGCTTCCATTGAGTGACACTGCCTTGGGCCCAACGTTGGCCTGCAGCCTGTTTTCGCTCACACTTGTTGAGCAACTCGTCTCAACATATCAGTACTTATGGCACTCTTGCCATACCCAAACAATGGGGCCGTCTACAGCCTCCTTCACCCCGTGGAACACTTGCTCCGAAAGCCACCGGAACCCCTGAAACCACACTTGGGGTTTGTTCTTCCAGCGTGACGTCTAAACTCGAAGTGCTCGAAACATTTCTCAAGCCCCTTCCCCTGGTGCCCACGCCTGTCAAGGGCTTCGTGGTGCGAACGCCTGCGTGCTGCTTTGGATTCAGAGCTTGGGACAAAACCAGGCTAGGCCTGTCTCTACCCTGAAGTGGATCTCTAACCCAACAGGCATAATCTTCACATTCCGCGGCGACAACAGGTAAAACAAACCGACCAGCCGACCAACCGACCAACCAACCAAGCAAACCAACCAACCAACCAACCAACCAACCAACCAACCAACCATCGAACCAACACGCTACAAACCAAACACGTGCACACAGACACACAAACACCTAAACCCTTGGAGGGATAATTTTGTTAAGTACAAATTCGATGCCATGCAAGTCTTAATCATTAATCGGGGTCTTGGGTGATCAAGGTCAAGATTCCGGGCTGGTGCTGCAGCGTTCTGGTTTAGGGCTGGCTTCGGGCTGAGTTGTCTTTGGTAGGACGCGCTTTCGCGTGCCCTGCGTTTTGGTGCATGCGTTGGGTGTGCTCAAGTTCGAAAGTGCAAAAAACCTAGGTGTTAGACTCATTCCGGTGTTGTAGGCGGGACCCTCCCCCCCTCCCTCCCTCCCCCCTCCCGCCCAGCGCTGCGCTACGCAGGACGTCTCGGTATTGGTGAGCAGCCAAATTCAACATCGAAGACGGGTTGTCTGAGCTTGGGTTGGAAACGGGTTTAACCTTTACGTGCCGGTGTTGGGTGAGGCTTGGGTTGGGGACACGGGGAGGAGGTGGGCATCTTCTGCACAGGGCATAGGGAGGTGCCTGAGGACATGGATTGCACTCGCGAAGGGTTTGCAGCTGCCTCTCCGGGAGTGGTGAGCTCAGCTAGTAGAAACATCAGAGGCCATGTGGTCACGGCCTGGTATCCGTCCCTCGCTACTTGTATCTCCCTCAACACGAAATCTGGGGTTTATTGCGCTTGTGTGCTGTCTGTTTCGCTTTCAGGCAGAAGTATGGACACAAACAACTCCGCCGCGAAACCGAACAGTATCCTTGCGTCTGATCCGTCGCCAGTCCAGTTCCGAGGCGTGGGTAAGTGGCCGTAGATGCGGCCTTTGCCCACAATGCAGCCAACAGTGAGGCAGCGTCAGTGTATGCCGGACCTGTTCAAAAAGGATCTTTGCAAGACATCGCGCGCAGCACTCGGAGATCCGTTTCTCCAAGCAGGGCTGCCTGAGCAGACGAAGACCAAAAACTGCGGGCCCCAGGTTTGTACAGTCCAGGTCGGGGCCTCTCAATGGTTGTCGGTGGTGTTTGGGCTTGGTCCAAACGCAATGCAACGCCGCACTGGTGCAAACATATATCGGCAAAATGTGGCCAGAACTCGCCCAATGAGAACGCATCCTCCGAAGCGGGTCAAAGTAAGCCATAAGTAGCCATAAGACCGCTCATGTAGGCTGGAGAGAAGCTGCGAGCCATGCATACGCCCAGCTATTTCCTGCCAAAACAGCTGCTCCTTCCGCCGTGCGGAGAGGTGGATACCCTGCACACCCTCCCGGCCCAGTGCAGCAGCGCAGCGTGATGCTTGGCTGCAGAAGTCCGGTGCAGCTAACGGCTGCAAATGAAAGTGCGTGGGCTCAGCAAACCGAAGGAACCATTGTATTCGCAAGGGGACAGGCCCGTCGCGCTTGCACCTACGACCAAGGACGACGACTTCAAGGCCAACAAAAGCCAACCAAAAGCAAACAACAACAAACAAAGCACAACCAACAACGCGTGATCGCGCGCGCGCCAGCCAAAGTGGAGACATGCATGTTGTAGCAGATGACGCAGCACAAAACAGCAAAGGGATTTTTATACGTGCAAAGAATGTTTGTTTCCACATGCAAACGTCGTAAAGCTCAAGGAGTTTCACGTTCGCACGTTGTCAAAAGCGAGCTTTGCAAAGCATCGGCATGCGCATCCAAAGCCTTTTCAGCATTTCGACGTGCCCGTACGAGAGGTCAAAACTGGAGGGTTTTGCGTTATAACAGTGGCCCAAGCGAAAAAACAAAGAGCGACACGTGCCCATGACAAATGCAAGGAGCTGTTTGTATTGTCGAAACGTTGCAAACAGCCAAATGAGCATGTCAGCATGTCAAAGTGTCCGTGCTTTTGCGGGAACAGGCAAAGCTTTGCGCTCGTTCTTTCTTGTTTTTGGTTCAAGGTCTGGGGCTGCACTCTTCGTTTCGTTGATTTTGCTAGCTGGTGCAAGGTTTGGGCTCTTTTTTTTTGGTTTTGAGGTTCAGTTTTGTATTTGTTGGGGGGGGGGGGGGTGGAGGTTTAGGCCGTGCACCGGGGCTGCCAGATCTTCTATATGATTCTCCAACACTGCGGACCGCAAACGCGGCGGTGCGCCTCTCGCCAGTGCGCTGGTGAAGACGTCGATGTTCCATTCGTGCCTTGCAGTCGCCTGCAAAATCCCCAGAAAGGTACATGCTGAAATTTTATGCTGTTGCTTTGGCTTGGCGCTCCAATTTTAGCAAACCACAACTTCCCTCACAATGATGTTGTAAGGATGACGACCAGTTCCTACATCCTATATTTCCCAATAGGACATCCTCTATTGCCTTAGCCTTAGACTTTGAAGGGGAAAACCTCAACTCTGCATTCCATACTCGCTGCTGGTAACACGCCTTCTGATGCAGGACTTAGGGTTGCCCAGCCAGTACTTCGAATCTTCAACATCTGAGCACAGACGGGATTCGCGCACAAAGGCCATTTAGGTCTGCACTGTGTGTCGTTTTCATTCTCTGAGCCTGTCGGCTGGTGTGGCTACTTGGGACTGTACGTCTTAAGCTTCTCAGACTCGCCCGCGATGAGCAGAGCCCGTTCAATCAAAATTGTCGTCGTCACCGTCGTCACCGTCTTCGTGGTGGTCGTCGTCCTGGTGGTCGTCGTGGTGGTCGCCGTGGTGGTCGCCGTGGTGGTCGCCGTGGTGGTCGCCGTGGTGGTCGCCGTGGTGGTCGTCGTGGTCGTCGCCGCGGTCGTCGTGGGGGTCGTCGTCGTGGTCGTGGTCGTGGTCGTGGTCGTGGTCGTGGTCGTGGTCGTGGTCGTGGTCGTGGTCGTGGTCGTGGTCGTGGTCGTGGTCGTGGTCGTCGTCGTTTGTTGCTGCGGTTGGTTGTCGTGCTTGCTGTTATGCCGAAGGCCTACACTCCAAAACCACGAAAGTTTAAAGCCAAAGTCCTGGCACGTCTGACTGTCGTTCGTGTTCTAGGGGTTTAGGGGTGTAGGATACCCAGATTCTCAAAATCGAGTTCCCCTAAAGACTCTTAGAATCTTACTCCTCAGACCAAATCCCAATCCTCCAGAATTCAGGCAGCGGAAACATCCCTCACAAAGAAGTTCAACCTCACAGTCCTCAAGAGGAGAGGCCTGGCAGTAGATGTTCCAGGCATTTTGCAGCAGCTGCTTCCAATCTCCCTTTGCCGCCTCGTGCGCACAGCCGTTCTGCCCCCCCAAAACCTGTCGAGTTTCAAAAATTCGACGGGGAGGGATCTTTAAGACTTTAAGATAAGGGTGGGGGGAAGGGCGGGGAGGAGGGGGGGGGGGAGGAAGGGGGGGGGGGAGAGGAAGGCGGGGGAGGAAGAGGAAGTTCATCAAATGATCAGGGGCAGGGTTATGCTTAGACTCTCAGATCGTTTTTTTGTGGGTCCCCTCCCCCCCCGCGCAGGTTTTTCATTGCCATTCTGCCATATTCCCTTTTCTAGTCTCGGGAGCCGGGTTCTTTGTCTCAGCCGGGCAGTCTCGGGCTGGGTGGGGTGTGAGCGGTGGGAGTCGTGGGTCATGGTGGGAATGGTGGGTAGTGGAATAATGGTGGGCAAAGATGGGATATGATGGGAATGGTGTGTGGCAGGTACCGGCAGGAATGTTGGGCAATGAAAGGGTAGATGATGGTGGGACAAGGTGGGAAGCGATAGTGTCGGGAACGGTGCATAGCGGTCGGTGGGTAATGGGTAATGGTGGGAATGGTGGGGGATGGAAGAGAATGGCTGGTACTGGCAAGAACTGGCGAATTGTGGACATGGTGAGTAATGGTGGTGACGGTGGGAGTGGTGCGTAGATGAGTAACAGCGACGGTGGGGAGTTTGTGGGAGCTTTTGGAATGTGGGGTAATACTTGAGGGAAATGGCTCAATGCTGGAAATGGTGGCTAAGTAACGGGTAAGGGTAAAGGTGGGAATGGTGGGGGCGGGAAACGGGGGTGCAATGGTGGGTGGTGGACAGTAATAGTGGATGGTGATGTGGTTTGACGTTGCGAAGAACCCCATAGAATTAATTCCGCAAAGCCCTTGCAAGAATAAAGGGAAAACATCAGAAATGACATTCATATGCGGCCCAATGAGATGTACTCGAGATGTCGTTTGCAACTTGCAGCTCCAAACCAGGATGTTGTGTGACAAAATCATCTAGGAGGGTCAGAGGGTCAGGACCAGGCACGCGCTGCCATTCTGCATCGTGTATTTTGAAGCTTTAAAACTGTTGCCCAAGTGTTCGAGGGCGACCGCCTAAAAACATGGATCGTTAGACCCGAACGCAAAAGGCTTAAGCTCTGAAGCTATGAACCTGCTCTAAGTCAAAGAGAGGCTTACATCCCTGGACCCTGGTGATCCTTTGCCTTGGCTTTGGCCTGCGGCACGGCCGGCGCCTCAGCTTTCGCGAGCGAGGCTCGGTCCGGAGATTCGGTGTGAAAACCCCGTAGCCGTGGAAGAGAACGGCGTTTCGGGTTCGGGCTCAATTCGAGTTGGGGCTCTGGAGGTTTGGTGTGTCGGGTCTGGGGTGTCCTCTGCTGTGGCATCCTGGTCGCTGGGGTGCACGCGGTCGTGTCGCCCGCTTTCTGGATGATGTACTTGCCCTCGTCCATCTCTATGACCTCCCAATTGCACAATGGTAGAATTCATTTGGGTGCAGAATCTCTTTACGAAGACGAGTCAACCACCTCCGGATCTGGATCCTGACCCTGACACCCTTCATCCTCAACAGCAACAAGCCATGAAGCCTGCAGCTGGGCACTTCTTTTGACAAACTTTTTGTAGGAGCCAAGCTGATCCTTATACCTGGGATCGGATTGGGGCTCATAGCTTTCTTGAATTTAGAGTCGGTCGCTTGTGCTTCCAGATGACGACATTCAAAAAACAATTCGCAGATGCTTCAGCTGTGAAGCCATCTTGGGGAGTTGGGGGGGGGGGGGGGGGGGGGGGGGGGGGGGGGGGGGGCGGGGGCGGACGGATCCATGCCAAGTTGCAGCACTAGTTTTGCCGCATTGTAGCGTCTATGTTTTCAGCAATGCCAGCCGCATCTTGTACTGTCCATGCCAGGCTATGACATCCGCCCTTCGTGCTGCAAATTTGTTCATACTTCTGCTTTTTGCAATATGTACATCTGGAAGCGGAAAAACTCCTTGGCCAGCACGGCAAAACCTTCCTCAGATTCTGACAGCCATTATAAAGAAGACTTGCAATACTCTTATGCCTCTGCGAGCACTGGTGCAAGCATTTAAGCAAGTATTTAGGCACTGAGTGTACTGTGCGACAGGGAACTTTATCCAAATCAAGCAGTCTCGGAAACGCCAATTCTTACAAGCGAGGAACTGGAAGCACCGCGGTCTTAGGTCGTGGCGTTGTGTGCCAGTCCGGCAGGATGAAGGTACCATGCCTTTGTGTTACTTGGATATTGAACCGTTTGCGTGTAAGGGCTTCGCATGAGTTCACATGAGGAGATGAGGACCTGTCCTGTCTCCTGTTTCGACCATTCGCGGGGCAAAGTCTCACATGTATGTATGAAAAAAATATAAATTTAAACACAAATAAATAACAATAAAAAAGTTTAAATAAGTAAATACGTAAATCTATGTGTATATATGTTTATGTATATATGTAAAGCAGTTTCACTGCAACGTTTCTCAATGCCAGGCTCAGACCCTGAACTGCAGCTGGGAACCCTTTATGAACCGTCCAGAGCTGAATCTTTTCAGAGGTTCGGGTTCTCGAGGGGAGGGGTTGTTGGGCTTTCTTAGGCCTTAGTCTACTTTAGGGCTCTCCGGCCAGCAGCGGTACAGATCGAGAATGAGCCGTCTGCCAGCAAAGCCTTGCTGCGGATGGTGAGAGATGTCGTAAGGCGCTTAAGGAACCTCGGCTGTGGGAGTGCAAGTCGGCCTGCCACCGTTGTCCAGCTTTGAATGCTTCACAGCTTCGCCGCACCCAAATTTGGTCGGTTCTCGAGGGTGCCCTTGAGGCTTGTGGCATTGATCCTGGCTGACTGGGCCTTCCACGCTTGCACCTTTTTATTCACCCCTCCGTGCAGGATAACAATTCGTGGAGAATCTCGCTCAAACTGCCACTGCGCCCGGAGCACTGGCGCGACGTCTGAATGTCACACATTGCTTCGCAGGCTAGGCCAGACGAGCCAATCTTTCCAGCTCCTTGCAGCGGATGCCTGGTCGAGCATGCCCGTGAGCTCGGTGGCTTCTCATCTTTTGGTTCCGCCAATCGTAGTGCCTCGTGTTTTTGAGACTTGGACTTTGCGCCGCCTTGCGCTGATCTGGTGGCTCTTCGCAGGCAACATGCCCCAAGTTGGCTTGCCATGCAAATTGATGCCCCGTTGCAGATGCCCCGCGCTGCACCCAGGCGCAGGCAAGTCCTGCATGTACTGCTCACAACTTCTTCCGTGAGGCCGACCTGGGCTCTTACTAAGGCGATGTGCTTGCGATCTGCGACAGATGTCTGGCCGTATGCCCAACTTTCATCTCGCGTGCACTTCATGGCCCATTACGATGGCTGGCTCTTTCAGGCCCGTTTTTGGGATCATTCAGACGTCTTCTGGTGGGATGGCGCGCACGAGTTGACACCTCAGTTATTCTCTCCGCCTTGGGGATGTTTTGGGCTTTCAACATCATTTCCACATGGACCTTGCACTAGGTCTGCCGTTGCGCGTTTTTTGTGCTTTCGAGATGGGGCTGGTCCGTGCTGGTAATCTGGACTGGTGTACGGTATCTGGCAGACGGCACCCGGGGCAGAAACGTAGGGTATGATCTCTTCGCCGGGCCATCATCTGGGGGGATGCCTTGAGTGTGGCGACGCGCATGCAACCTTAAAACGTGGACACGCTGCTTCGATGCCGATCAGGCATGGCTCTTACAACGCCCCGCTCTCTTCTTGGCGTTTCACACTTGGACTCGACTTGATTCTGGGACTGGTGTCGCGAGTCGCGGGACAGAATCGCGCTCAGTCTGTACTAAACGTGCGAAGTCTGCGGGGCTCTCATATCACGTGCTTAAGGTGCTCTGCGCTCTGAGGTCTCTGTGAGTGCCGTCTTCTTCGGCATGGATGTGCAGGATCAACTCGATCGCAGCTGGCGAGCTTTGCACTTCCCTGGAACAAGCACCTCTGTGGTGGAGGATGTGCCGCCGCTTGGATGGGAACAGCTGGTTTGCAGTCACGTGCATGGTCTTTCTGAAGACTTTGTTGTGGAGCGGTGTGGTTCTCGTTTATCTTCGCAGTAGGGACGGGTGCACTTAACCGGTTCCTGATCATACGGTCTTTGGTCCGTGTCAGGCCCATTGGCCGCATCATTGGCCCCAAGGGCAGGCAGTGTGAAATAGACAATCGATCTATCCTTCTGTTCTCTCCCCTCTCGTGCCTCTGATTCCCTCCCTGGGTGTGGGTGTGCGGGTGTGTGTTGGTGAGGGTGTGTGGGTGTGTGGGTGTGCGGGTGTGTGGGTGTGTGGGTGGTGTGGGGGGTGTGCGGGTGTGAGCGTGCGTGCTGTAACGTCTACAAACGGCATCGCGTCATAACAACCGCAAGAAGCTTCAGAGGACCGAATAACAGAAAACTTTCTTGCACGTTCCGGGATGCTTCTGTGCATCGGGATCCGCGATGGCCTTCAGAATCTCCTGCAGCTTACGAGACGTCGAGGCTTCAGGCGCTCAGTGTCCCTGCTCACTGTTTCCAAGGTTTGTGTGAGGGATCGAAAGCTTACGATCTAGGAATGGGGATTTAGGTTGCTGGAGTTTGGATCCACAAATCAGGTATACGATATATGTGTTAAGGTTTACGCGCCGAAAGCCTCGAAGCTTGGAAGTTGCGACTGCAGGCACAACGCTGAGATTCAACAGCTGCACCCCAAAGTACCAATGGGATGAAAACAACATCTGCACTTCCTTTTCGGGTTTAGGGTTTAGGGTTGTTATAGCGATACGGGTCGTGGTAAGAATCGGGAAATAATAGAAAATGGCAACTATTGTAAACAATGGGAAACGTCCAGGACAAAAATCAGAGCATATGTGTAAACCCTTCCAAGTGTTCCTAGCGTCTCCTCGGTATTTTTCACTACATCTTGCCGTGGTCCCGTTATAGCCCCATTGGCTCCTTCACTGCCTGCAAAGCCAGCAGCTCTTTCTTCTCATCCTTGTCACGGAGACCACACAGGGAGTCTAGCTAGGGCTTCTAGGATGTAGGATGCCCTGCGTTGGAAATACCAAGTATACCGTTTAGAGAGTGTAAGCAGCCCGGCCCCAAAGCCACCCCAAATTCATGATTCATGTGCCTCACAACCAAACGACAGCCAACAAATGCTGAAGGCTCTCCATGAACCGAGGCACAGAATGATGTCACAAGAGAAGCAAATTAACACTTCGCTCGTCTCTGAACCCTGTGAACCCTATGTGGACCCTTTCTCCGACCTTCTTTTCCTGCTTCTCCACGGGCTCCTTCGAAGGTAGCTCTGGGGCTTGAGTCTCGGGTTAAGCGTACTTTTCGGGTTGCTTTGATGCCGTAACGTGGTAACAAACGAAGAAGCAAAGAAAGAGTCTTGAAGGAAACGGAGTCCAAGGTTCGATTCGTCACCAGCGGTAGCGTAGGAGTTTGACTTGTATGTTAAGGGCCTGACAGTTGAGACCTTAGGATGGTGTTTTGAGCCCAGTTCAAGCCTTCAGGCTTCTCCTACTTAGAGGTTCCTGGGTGGGCATACTTAGGGTTGGCAAGTGTGATCGATTTGCGCCGGAAGCTACAACGTGTGACCGGCGTCATGCGCAAAGGGACTATCCAGGGCAAGGCCTGAACCCTGACTCTCTGACCCCGTCCTTCTGAGCTTTTGGTGTCTTTGCCTTTGCTTTGGGCTGGACCTTCCTCGGAACACTGGGAGATCGAAGGCCAAATTTCGATGAAAAGCCTGTGCTGAGAAGCCAAACCACCCAGAGTTCCGCACTGTTACGAAAAAACGGAAGCCCTGAATCTTGCAGGCCCCTCGAACCGCCAGTGCTACCTTAGGAAGGTGTTCGACTCGGCCCAAGGTATTAACTTGAGAAAACCAGTGTGTTGATGCCGCATGGGTCTTTGGGTTTGGTGGAGATGCGTTTGGAGGCTTCTGCCGTGCCATTTGGGGTTTCAGGATTCTGGATTCGTTATGGTTCAAGACATAGGATTCCCGGCTCATGTGAAACATGTCTCCCAAGGATGCTAAAAGAACGAAGGCTGCAGAATGCAGTTGTGACAGCGCTGCTACGGACGTGCAACAGCCCCCAAACGCCCACGTGAGGCCACGGCGTTGGTGGAGAGCCTGCAGGGAGCAGAGTTGACTTTACTCTTCGGGAAGACAAAAGTCAAAGCTTCCGAGTGCAGCCTTCCAAGAGAACCAACGCCCCCCCAAAGAGCCCCCAAGCCATCCCAAGCCCCAGTGAAACTCCAGGAAGCTCCTGGCCCCCCCCCCCCCCAGCCCCGAGATGCTGCGGGGTAAGGGTTTAGGGCTTGCGTTCAGGGGTCAGGGTACGCGCTCCTTTCGGCGACGCGTCGGCTGCCTTTTGCTCCTCCTTGGGCGTCTCGGCCTCAGACAGACGCAAAAAGCATGGGGCCGGCAATCCTACACTTAAATCCCCAGCCCCAACCGCGAGAACAGCTTGTAGCAAGCCTTCTGGGGCAGCCTCGTGCAGGTTTTGGAGCTTAAGAAGTTCTGCTACAAGTCCTCTGAGCACACTGAGCACCCTGGCAGCCGCTGTTTTGGCGACTTTCTTCTTCTTGAGCACCGGCGACTTCTTGATCTTTTTCATCGGCCAACCTCGTTGGTTGAGCCGCTGCCATCTGAAACCTTCTCTAAACCCTAAGCTTTCTAAACCCCTCTCGGCGCAACATCCTCACATCCAAAGAGGGCGCACGGGGGCGTAGGTTACCTACACTGACATGGGTATTCTGCAGAGCTCCGAAGCCCTCCAAACCCGCACAAAGAACCTCAAGCCGGAGGGCTACTGCGGCTAATGGCTATTGGCAGAGCTCGTGCAGCCACTGAGAGCCTGGCCCCGCTTGGAGCTGGAAGGCCGAGCAATCCCGTTGAGTCTTGAGCCAAGCAATGCCAAGCAGCTGCCTTTTTTCAGAGAGAAACCATCCCTCTAAGACCTCGGTTCTTAAATTAAAGAAAAGATGTGTGTGTTTTTTGGCGCAAGTTTTCAAAAGGCTTCAAAAAGGACATATTGGAGCTGGGGGCTTGGGGCTTGGCATGTCATCGGCTTCCAGTCCTCAATATGACTGCAGCACATTAGAATTCATTCCTCTCTAGAGGGGGGACTGCAGAGAGTCGCGCAAGCCTGCACGGTCAGGCTTCACGGCTTCACACACCGTCTGCGTTGCAGACACATTCTCCTTAGGCCTGACGCTTGTAAGGACACGACTCCTAAGCTGGCGTTGAGGGGCCGCCCCGCAGCGCTGTGGATTACCTTGCAGACTTCTGGAGGATCGGCACCCGCCTGCGACTGGGCTGCTGCCAACCGAAGGGTCATCCGAAGCCTTCGAGCATTCTCACAGAGTCGTCTGAGAAAACTCCTTTGTTGAAGGCTGGGACGGTAGAATCCCGGTAGAACGCTACATGTAGGGATTGCGAAACTGCCGTTCTTGGTTTCTGTTTTCAAGGCTCGGAGGCACTATTGCTCTACTGCTGTTGCCTTGGCTTGCCATTGGCGCTTCACCCTGATCCCTCACAGGGGGCTACAGGGATTTTTCCAGGTCCTGTCTTGCGGCTTGGTGCCTGAAAGGGGTTCAGGGCGTTTGGGTCAGTGGTGGGCGTTCATAGGGCACGACCTACATGCCTAGCCGTCGACGGCCCATCTACCTTGGTGTGAAAGAAACACACGCCACATCCTGCAAACACAGCCAACTAGCTTTCAGCAAGGGTCCCATATGTTCTTGAAGATCCGGTCTCAACAATGTGCAGAACGCACTAATCAGCCTAAGGCATAGAGCAGCCAATGCAACCAAAGCAAAAGCAGCGGCCTCGTCGCTGAGACCACGGGCCCCGGGAATAAGAAACGCAGCCCAGAAACCAGCCTACGCAGATCTGCAAACTGGAGCTCACTTGGCGTTGTGTATAGTGAATCAAACTTTTGGGTGTTTTGGGGTTCTTAACTATGATTGTTTCAGATTGCTTGAAGTGTGAAGCGTGGCTATGTCAAAGTGCTTTCTCTTGCCATGCCGTAACGAGAACAACAAAGCCACGAGCGAGCACAGAGCCAGACACTAGGGCTGGAACCCAACAGAATGCACGAATGAAGGGAGGCACAGAACGGAAACGAGGCCTTTGCCGGGCATAAGTGCTGCTGCGTGGGCAAACGCCCAAGGTCCTGCCGCAGGGAGTTCGAACCTGATAGCCTACGCCTGCAACTAGCAACATCCCGGCAACCCCAAGCCGAAGCACTAAAACCCTAAGGCTTTGGTTTTTTGAAGCAGTAGGCCCTTGAAGGACTTAACGGGGCATTTTGTACGACCACTCCTCCATGTGGCATTTGGGTCTTCGCCTCATCCCACGGGTTCGAAAACAACGGGATTGTTGAGCTGGACACCTGATACGACATGGACATGCGCAAAAAGAGCACACATAATGCCCACAAAATGCAGAAGAAGCTTGAGGGGAAAAGAGAAAAGCCATCATGAAAACCGCGCTATCAGTGAGGGAACCCTCTGTGTTCATGAGCTAGGGCTGTATGCGCAAAGACGCTATCACCCACTCTCTCCCTCACACACACACTCTCTCTCTCTCTCTTCTTTCCTTGTTTGTTTCTTTCTCTTGCGTTTAGTCTTTCTTTCTTTCTTTACTCCCCCTCACTTGCTCTCACTCACAGTCATGAGAGCACATCCACTTGGACCGCAGGATTTGGAGCCTTCTACCCCTGTCCCCCCACCCTCCCTGACAAACCCCCTCAGCTCCAGAATGCAGGTAAGTCCTCGGGATGGGAAGTCGAAGAGAGGATGGTCAGCTCTCGGAGAAACAGCAGCGCTGTAGCGCCTGAACGCAGGGTCAAGGCCTGAAGTTTTTGGAGTGGTCTGGGAATTAGCAGGCATCTGCATAGCTTCAAGCCAAAAGAACCTGCAGTTTACATTTTGCTACACGTTTGTAGCCCCAAAGAGAACTGCTGAAATGCGCCCCCCCCCCCCCCCCCCCCCCCATATCGTTGGCAAAAGCTTTGAGGCTAGAAGAAGGGTCGCGATTCACGGGTCGCGGCAGGGTCTCAGTACGTCTCAATGCTTGTTTGGCTTTTCTACGAGTGCGGCCTCTAGCGGCACCTCTGGTGATATTGTCTTCGTGAGGGCTTGACTCAACACTCCTTCCTGACACCAACCGACAATCCACTCAACTGATGTTGCTCTGTTTCGACTATCACCATCTATCGCCCATCCCCCTCCCAGCGTGCCGTAGACTCCGGCTGGGAGTCTTTTCAAGAATGGGCTGGGCTCTTCCCCTGGCAGGGAAGGGTAGAGGCTGGAGGCTGGAGGCTGGGGTCCGGTATCATGGGCACCAATTTGCCTCTTTTCCTTCTGAGTTGCGTCTTGCCGGAGCCACACACCCTTTTGGCTATTGTCGCTTGCGTCCATTTGGGGCTCTGGCTGCTGCCAGCCGGGAAAGCTCGGGCATGTGATTAGGGTTCAGGGATTGCCTCCAGCCACGCCATTTAAGGAGGTCTTTTCACTCCCTCACATATGGGGCCGATGGTTGGTAACGTGATTCGTTCTAGATTTGACTCTAGAGCCCATTGGAGGGTGTAGGGCCTAAGGCTTAGGGCAGGTCAACAAGATCGGGTCATGGACGGTTTATGAGCTGAGCGGTTTGTGACATGCTTATGGAGGGAATGAGGATGTCGTTCTCCGGTGCCGGCATGTTTAAGTTGGTGGGTCTGTGGTCCTCATCCGGAAACTAAGGACACTCTACGAAATTTTAAGACAGTGTCTGCAAGGCTTAAGGAGACCCTCAACCTGAAACTTCACAGCCTTCCACCCAAAACCGTGCACGGGGCAAGGAGGAGTTTCGGAAGTCCATATCACAGGCTGTTTCAAGTTTTGAGACACTGCTACTGTTGCTTTTGGTGGCATGTTGGGTGATGGTGGGGCATGCGTAAGTGCTTTCCGCCACTGCTTGGTCAGTGAACCTGGATAGAGAATGATGCCGAATTGCATCTATTGAAGCTGTTTTCGGGGAACTATCAATCCGAGGCTGTGCTGTTCATTATCGCTCTTTCAGCGTCCTACAGTGCACACCTGGCTCAGAAAACCGACCTTGTTGTCCCACAACCCTCTGATGCTCCTAGACACCCTATTTAAGACGCCCAATTTCGCAGCCTGCGCCTCAAGATTGGGGGCTCATGTGTGGCTTAAACAGGAGGAGTCGGGCCGACGAGATTCATCAGGAAGCCCCAGCTCGGCAGCGATTGGGACCTGGGCAGTTGAGTCTCAGGAACTTAGGGTGAACCTGTGTCGAAGGGCTTAACGGGGCACTGAGAACGAAGACTCAAGGGGGATTTAAGAGGCCTCCCACCAAACTTCGTCGTGACCCTACAAGTTAGAGAGAAGATTTGAGGTGTGTTCAGATGGCTCGGATGCTTGAAGCTTGTGCATGCATTGCCAAAAGCTGGAGAAGTCCCGCCGCCGCTCATGTTGGCATTTGGGGTTGCAGGGCCTCAGGCTGAAGCCTTGGCAGCTCCAGGTACCAACCAGTCATTTGGGCACCGCAGAAGATGCTGTTTCTAAACTTGTGAAGTGCTGATTTTGTGATTTGTGGGACGGCGCGGTTTTTGGGAGCTTCAACGGATTCAACGGTTCGGGCCCAGGGCAGAAGCCTCAGGCCACCAAATCAATCGTCGGAGCTGGGTGTCGAAAGCCGCAAAGCTGCAAAAACTAGGCTGAACCGCATAAAGCTGTAAACCGTAATCCCAATCCCGGTAGCGAGGGATTAGCTGATGCATACCAACGCCACCTTGATTCCCTTGAGGCTAAAGCCTGAAGGAAATTTGTACACGCTTCACACGCCAAGGCACCATTGCGCACAAAACCCACGAAGCAGCTGGCGGACCTGCTCAGAATGGTAATTGGCAACATGCAGCTTCGCAGACCGTTACCGCAAAGCGCCACGCTGAACCCCCCAACACCCTGCATACTTGGGCCTTTGGGCTCTGTTAGGTTTAGGTCCGAATGGGCTAGATGGGCTTTCATGGGCTTCGGGCTTTTGAACAGAACTCACAGCCGTACCCCGAGCTGTACCGCATCTGCACACTGAGCCGAATTCTGGACCCGCAAACCCTGAAGTGAAGTTTTTTTCAGTCCCAGGCGCACAGAGCAAAGATACAGGCGCGCACACAGCTCCAGCAAAACAGAACGCTGGCCAACCCCCAAGCCTCTTGACAAAACCCAAAGCTCCAATCCTTACCCTGTTCGGCAGACCTCCAGATCAGCGTCATCTGAGCAAGGCGGTGGGCATATAATCGTTGGGGGATTGAGGACCTGAATGGCTAGGTGTGTTTGAACGCAGGTTAAGGGTCGGTGATGGCACTTTCACCATAACTTCTAAGCCGACGAAAATGTGAGCATCCGAAGGGGTTTGCGACCTGAAAACATTTGCCTTGTAAGTATCTAGGGCCTATATTGTCTGTAAGCAGGCAAAGTTTTTGTTTCATGACTTGCAAGGTTGTATTGCTATTTTTCAAGTGCAAGCTGTCTTCCTGGTACGCATCACTAATCCGAAAGCCTAAATACTGCAACGTACAACATAAACAGCTCAGGACAATCTGGCACGACACCTTTGAAACCTTGCAAAAAACCGTCCGGGGACCTTCAAACACCACAGCGCAATCCGAATTGGCAATGACTCAACACCCTTCTTGTGCACCTGTTGTTTGCTCCGCGGCTGCCTCAAGAACAGGGCACTTTGTCTGGTCAAGTCTCAAGGCATGCAGCGCAGAATGCTGCATATTGCCAGCACAAATTCTGCCGGCTTGATGCGTGTGCCCTCTGCAACACTAATGGACCCTGGCATGCTGGTCCAGCTTAGTCATCAGCAGTGGGGGAGTGCACTGTGCGCCGAAACAAGAAAGTCTCAGCTCCATGCAAAAGTTTTTGCTTGTTTGCTTGAATATGTCGAGGCGAATTGGTTAACAAAGTTCAGCAAAGTCTCAACCCTGACGCTGCACTTCTGACCCAAGAAGCACAGGTTCCCCCGGACTCCGATCAACTCAACAAGGCCCTCCAAGTCCGAGACAAACGTCCCCGCAACAAACGTCCGCAAAGCCCAGCTCGCTGAAGCGCGCCAAAAAGCGTTTGGGGGCTCGAGAACCTTCCCTGAACCGAAAAGTGAAACACAAAGCCCTGCAAAAGCCCGACAAACCCGATCGTCTGTTCATCTCTAAATACCCGAAACAAGGCACAAAAAAAAAGTGTGTGTCCGAATGCCAGCAAGGCCTTGCCCGCAGGGCCACCAACGGTCTGGAAGGTCCTGGCCTGAGCGTGCGAGAAAAAGGAGGAAGTCGGAGGAAGGGCTGGTTTGGTGCGTTGAGAACAGCACGATCCCTCGCCTCCACGCGAGCTGTCTTCTGCCATCTTCTGCCGTGTGATTTCAGTGCATCCCGAAATGTGTGAGCATGGCAATGTGCAGGCCAGACTTGACCACTGCGATGGCCTGAGAATGTCACCCGCGGTTGCCCGGAAACTCAATGAGACGTGTGATCTTCTTGTCGGCCACTCGTCCCCAAGAGGATGTTCGTCTCTTGAGTTGGGCTTAGACATTTGAGTGGGCCCTAAGCAAACAACAAGGAAAGTTTGCTCACAAGTGCAGGGCGTAGGGAAGCTGGAGCGGGCATCTTCAGGTGCGTTGAAGGAGGGCTCCGAAGGTGGGGATTACAGACCTGCCTGAATTGGGTCATTTGGTTCCTCGAGAAGCTGAGTCCGAATGTCGAAACCTGGTTAGTCAAACGACTGTGATGTCGGGATACAACAGGACACACACATACACACGACGCGCATGTAGACCACATACCAGCCGTCTAAATCCAGTCCACACTGGCACGGCAGCATGCTTCACAAGTGTAGGGCAGCAGAAGGGTACAGGCCTCGACATTGTAAGTTTGTTTCCTGAACATCTGAAAGCCAAAGCCTTTAAACCACAAGTTCTCAACCATTCCAAATCGAATGCCTAAGCCTGCATAGCCCTCGTCCATAGAATCCTAAGCGCACATCCGTAGACCCTTTTCGCGGCCTCGGCTTTCCAGCCAATCCCTAGACGGAAGGCTGCGAAAGAACCCGAACACACCCACACACGGAAGTACAAAAAACAACCAAACAAACCATCAAACAAACAACACAACACAGCACAGCACAACACAACACAAGACAAGACAACACAACCCAACCCAACACAACGCACCACAACGCAACACAACACAACACCACACAACACAAAAGCACAAGCAAAAGCAAGACAAAGCAACACAGAGCAACACAAAGCAAAACAAACAAACAAACGAACAAGACAACTGCCAGTGGACCCCCAATTCAGCAATGGCCAGGCTCAGCGCGGCAAGCCGCATCCAGAATATCTGAGGATAGCCACCTGCAGGATAAAGACTTATGTTGGGGCTTTAGGGGGACTTTGGTGGTGCTGTTCGTTCTTCGGTTTGGGGGCTTTGGGCTTGAGGGTGTGAGGAATTCACGGTCTTGGGTTTCGGGCTTGGGCTCTTAGTCCCGGACTGGGCCGGCGGGGGAGGGGGGGGCAACTGAGTAGATAAGAAGACGTGCGAGAACCTGCGAATGGTAGGAATCTACATGGTTCAGCCCAAAGAGATCGCAAGAGCACACTGGACTCTGCGTGCACATTCGCATCTGCTGCGTTTGTGCTTTACAAGATGCAGATGCAAAACATCGAGCAGTCTGACATTGACCAACCTGAACGCCAAACCGCAGGTCCCAAACACTGACGCCCTTAATCCATGCTCCGTGGCCAAGAACGAGTTGCCAATGAAACAAGCACAGGATCGGTAAACCAAGAGTGCCGATATTGGCCCCGCGAGCCTTCACTACTGGTGGGTAGGGCGCGTAGTCGCAGCCAGCGTTTCAGCAGCTGCAGCACCTGTGTTGGGGCTTGGGTTTCTGATCGGTGTCGCGTCAGTGCATAAACTGCTGATGAAGCGGTGGAAGATCTGATACCCGCACTTTTCAAAAGTTCAGTCTCGCGAGTGCCTTTTCGTTTGATCTTTCGCAAGCTTGTACGAACATGGCCAGGGCTGTAGGATGTAGCGCTTGCTCATTCTGCTGGGAGGATCACGAAGAGCTTGCACAAGCTCTTTGCTAGACACACTCTTTGACATTCTAGGGTTCATACTGAAGAGTGCCATGAGTCGGATCAGAAAAGTTAGTAATCAAGCTGCTGATGAGCAGAGTTGCTACACATGGCAATGATGGGGATTAGCTGCAGGGCTGGGCCATTCTTGACTACAAGTCTTGACAGACAAAGCTCGTACAAGGGAAGTCCTGCACCTTAAGAATCACAACAGCGAAGGTTTGACGGGGATTAGGGGGTTCAGCGGTCTTGTCGCAGGGCCAGGGGTTGCAAGGTCTTTGGAGGAGCTTGTGAACCAAGATCAATCGCAACATGAAGGGAGCCCAATCCAGGCTCCGGAGCGAAATCCAAATCAGCGAAAGAGAAGGGAGCCCCCGCCCGTCCAGCCACTTCCGAGGTAAGATGGCTCCCAACCGTTGCGGCTTGGGAAAGAACCAGCCTATAAGTACTGAGCCCTCGAGACCCTCAGCCCTGTAGCCTTGAAGCACAGCCCCGAAACCATAAACCCTACCGTCCTGCGTTCGAATTTCAAACATGCCGCAGCTCACTTCTGGCAGCCGGGGCAGCAGAACGAAGTAGTGCCGAAACAGGATGGCATCTCGAATGCTGCCTGTGAAGCTTTTGGCTCCCCGAAAGGGGTTTCAGGTTTCTTGGGCCTGTGAGGTCTCGAGCCGGAGAAAAAGGACTTTTGAGTCGCAGGGCCTGTAGTGTGGAGGGCTTCGAGCTTCTAGGGCTCAGGGCGCTTGGAGTTTCGTGAAAGGTTTGCGGGGTGGTGGGTGACGACGAAGTCAAGAAGCCAGGTCATGTTGTAAGGTCTTGTTGTGCGCAGAATCTCGCCCTAAACCCTCGTAACCTCATCATTCAAGCATCTGTTTGCATACCAGACTCGAGCCTCACAAAAAACCCTCCAAATCCCAAGAGACATTGAATCACACAGGGGCTTCAGAAGTATCCCATTTTCTGGGCCCCTTACCTTGCAACCTCAACATTGCAACCTGACCTGGCAGAAGCCGCCCTGTGCTAGTTATCCTCGAATTCTCCTCGGACAGTTCCTCAGACTCAACAGCTCTCGAGGTCCCAGCTCAGGTTGCCGACGGTGCACATGTCGACATAAAGAGGCTCACCATCCTTCTCAGGGGGCCCTTCAGCCCTAGACCCTCATCCGCAATAACACACAACTGACATGAAATTCAAGAAGCTCTCTCTCACATACCTTGAAACCGAGCCCCTAGTCCTGTCTGGCAAGCACAAGAAGACGAAAAAGAAAGAAACAAAAACCTGCCAGAACTCTCGAGCAGAACCCAACGATCTCCATGAATCGAATTTCTAGGGGTGGCTCGGCACTCCAGGCTCCAGGGGTGTCCTGCCAGATTCTGGGGAGTGGGCCTTCCAAGGACACTCGGCAGGATCCCCCGCAAGAATCTGGTGGTGGACACCCTTTAGGAAGAGGCACTGAGATCATCGATCACCCGCGGCATTCTGTGCAGGATTCCCATGCGGGATTTTCTGGGGGTGGGCCAGGGATGCAAGGGGGACTCCAGGGATGCTCCGCGGGAAGACCCTGGGCCCGGGAGAGTAAGCTTGTAAGCCAACATCCCCACGCGTGGCGGGGAACAAAACCTTGCAGTTGACCCTGCAAGCGTACCTAGTTTGCCGGGTGGTTTGGGTGTGCCAAGCTTCGTCATGGAAGCTGGACATGTTTTTTCTTACGGCTACAAACTTCGCTCCCGACGCTTTTTTCAGCAAATGGCCCCCAGAGCTGCCATCATGGTCGCATCCTCTGGCAGGTGGAACCTCCTTGGGCATGACGTCGTGCCAAGAGGCAAGAGCGCTGTACACACCGGTGTTTCATACCAGTGATTTGTGCATGTTCCCAATGCTTCTGACAGCGCATCTTGCTCCAGAAACGTCAAACATCCGGTGGCATTTTGTTGTGCAAAGAGGCAAGAATTCTGTAAATGCCGGTGTCTTGTCGGCGTAAGAACGGACGTTATCGCCACCCTGCGCAATTCTCCGAAGTCACCAGAAGCAACCAAGCAAACTACCTACACGCCTCCCCCTACACAAGCATATGGGAGCCTGGAAGGTCCGTATCGCCAGCACCGGCATGCTCGTGCCGACACCATAGAC